CAGTCAATATTTACATCACAAAATATGAAGAAAATGAAGGTGTGTGAAGGGATTTTCAGTAATCCAATTCATTGTCATGCCAAAAATTGCGTTTGTAATAGATTAGACAGATATATGTTTGTTTAACTTAGAGTTACCATAAAGAACTAGACTAAATGCAATAACTTTTTATTTAATAGCTATTGTTATGTATTAGTTACATTTTTTATATTTTAACTTTATGACCCAAGAGACTTTCACAATGACAAGTTTTATTTATTGCAAATTTGAAGACACATAACATCTTCTGTGTTTTGAACCTAAACTAAACAATCAAACACACATATAAAAGTATACATGCATACAAGTATATATGTGTACCTAATATAACTAAATGTGAATTACAATAACACTGTAACAGTTCTTCTGTTGAATGTCTGCATACGCTGACATGCTTCACCTCACTCCATCCTCATGTAAACAATTGGACATGGTTACAGCTTGCGCTGTGTTACAGTGGAGGAAATGAAGGCTTGGAGATTGTAAGAATGGCCTAAGGCACATGGCTATTCAGTGGCAGTGCTATGAAAACCTGGAGTTCCCTCCCAGTAACCATTCAGTGATGTTACCTCATCACATCTGCTACCCACAGCATAACTTAAATGAGAAAAAGTGAGACTCCAGCTTATGCTCATAGATCAAGGAACAGAATTATTTAGAATGTGTGCACTTATTGGAAATAGGCTATTGAAATATTTACTGACTTCTGTCAAGGCAGCACATTTTTAATGACATGGGGTTCATGAAGACTAAAACAGAAGAGCACAAAAGAAGGATTTGAAATTATGCAATTTAAAACACTATCATTCTGCTTTCAGCGGCTTACTAATTTTCATTAGGATTAATAAAAATACTATCCTTCATAAAAACTCAATTCTAGAAAACAAAGAATAAGATGTCTAATGCAACATCCCTGGACAAATGACAAATGACTGAATAGGCAGCCACCACAATCATAGAGTAGGCAGAAGAAACACTGAGGCCCACGCTGTAGTGAGATGTCAGGGCAGGGCGGAGGGCTGCTAGGAAACCACTGCTGGGAAAGGGGCCTCCCTGCATTCTTGCATCAGGGATGGGAGGGCAAAGGACCTGAACAGCCCAGGAGATTGATGACAAATGCCAGCGTCTATAAACGGCAGTTGTGCATTGATCTGTGTGCAGTGTGTAAAGATTTCTTCTCTCATAGAAGGATGTGTGTGTGAGAGAGAGAGAGAGAGAGAGAATGCCTGGTACATACTAATAGCATTCATAATATAATTTGTCCATTCAGTGACAAGAATTGCCATAATTGGTATGATATTTGCATGCTGGGTATTTTACTCACTTGCATATTTTAAAATTACAAAGAAAACCCTTAAAATTCTGCATGTCAAAGTGTATCTGGCATGTCTTCTGTGAAGTGTAACCATGACACTCTCCAGAAATAATGTTTGACACTGTTCCCATGGAGTTCAATTTATGGCCTTCCTCTAGTTCTGTGGAACTGTAAGGCTACCTCCTCCAGATACATTTATGGGATCTGTAGTTATGTAGATGCTGAGAAATGTCAGCCCTTGAAACTGGTAATTATTGACAGGTCCAAAGTCCATATCAAACATTTAGGTGTCTGAAGTTTGAGGCTGGCTCTGGAACTTTTTTGAAAAAGAGGATACAGAGAAAAGTTTGGTTTGTGAATTTTTTATGTACCATGTGTGCTGTGGAAACAAGATCTTGACTTGAGCTTGAATCTGGGCTAACTTAGGACAGAAGCCAACAACCATCAGAAACAAAAGCCAGAGTCCTAGGCTCTGCAGCTTCCCTCCCATAATTCTGCAGTCTTGATAGGCAATGCACAAATTTTGCCAGCTGAGTGAGAGGCTTGTTCACATCTGAACTGAAATCGACTTCACTCCTTTTTCCAGTGGGATCAAGACCACCAGCTAGTAAATGCCAAGTTAGGTGTATGTCATGGTTCTATCATGCTGTAACAAATTACCAGACACTGAACCATCCACAGAAATTTGTTTCTTACAGTTCTGGAGACTAGGAAGACCAAGATAAAGGGGCTGGCATCTAGGTATATATGGTGAGGACCTTCTGTGTTCACATGGCAGAAAAGCAGCAGGTCATAAAAGGCCAATTGCTGTGTGGTTGCTTCTTTTATAAGGGCTGAGTTCCATTCACAGAAAAGGAGCTTCAGACCCAACAACCTCCTTTTAATACTCTTATAATATTGGAGATAGGTTTCAACATATGAATTTCAGGGACACAGTCAGACCATACATTCTGCCAGTGTGCTGATTTCCAGACCTACATTGGTTTTCTTTCTGGGAACAAAACTGAAAAGGTCACTCATTCTTCCTAGTATTTTAGGCATAAGCAGTTTTTACTTTTTGCAGGCTATGCCAGATGGAAGAGTTTTAGGTTAGGGAGTCTTCGTATTTAGGTGGCCAAGCTGGTAGTGAAGGGAGCCCAAAACATAAGTTATTTTTAGTTCCTGAAATTCTAGGCCAGATCTGGAAAGATCAGTGAACAACTTTTGGATACTGCATATAGAAATTGTTATAAAGCCAAGGACAAAGGGTAGGAGGGGACACAGACAGTAAATAGACATCAGGGGTGTTAGGAAAGGATGTGTTCAGCTTAATCCAAACCAGGCCTTGGGACACACAGGGAAGGGAGCTCACTGCCCTGTATCTCTACTATAGTTCTCTCTCTCTGTCTCTCCCACCACTGCCCACATCCAAGTGATAACTGTCTTTTCCTGGATTCCAGAATATTGGGGAAAATTGAGAGAAAAGAAAAGAGAAACCAATTAAGTAGGAGTTTGTGGTCCTGCCCCTTTAAACTAACACATCTGTATGTGATTGTGTACACAGATGCACACACTTTTCTTTAATGCCCATTACATTTTAAAGGGAGAAACACAAGTCAGATGGCACTCATTTTAGGGAGCTATCCTTAATGATACCTTTCTTACCCACCTCTACTCACTGTTCTAAAGCAGAATTAGAAGCATCTTCCTCAGTATTCCCACAGTGACTTGGGGAAATCTCTCTAATGCTTGTCACACAGTATTTGATGAGGTGCTCTCCTCACCTGGACTGTGAGCAACTTATAGCCTGGATGTCCACTTCATTTATTGTGTGAGATGAATGGAATCACACTGTGATTTCCAGTGTCCTTAGGACATCTTGTGCTAAAGGATAAACTCTAGAAATATGTGACTGATCCACTAAAATATGAGTAAAAATGATGTTTGACTTATTCTGCATTGTAGTTTGTGTGTGTAAGTCTATAATACTGAACCTTGTTTTAATTGTTTAAGGAGTCAGTAATGGAAGGGCAAAGGTAAATAATTCCCAGGTGTACCTATGCTATTAAAATATAGTCTATTCTTAAAAATCTAAACATAGACTTGCCATTTGATCCAGCAATACCACTCTTGGGGATATACCAAAGGAATGGGACACAGGTTACTCCAGGGGTACATGTACACCCATGTTTATTGCAGCACTATTCACAATAGTCAAGTTATGGAAACAGCCAAGATGCCCCACTACTGACGAATGGATTAAGAAAATGTGGTATTTATACACAATGGAATTTTATGCAGCCATGAAGAAGAATGAAATCTAATCATTCGCCAGTAAATGTATGGAACTGGAGAACATCATCCTGAGCGAGGTTAGCCAGGCCCAGAAGACCAAAAATCATATGTTCTCCCTCATATGCAGACTTTCGATCAAGGGCAAACACAACAAGGGGATTGGACTTTGTTCACATGATAAGGCAAGTGCACACAAAGGAGATATGAGGATAGGTAGGTAACTCCCCCCCCAAAAAAGATAGCATTTGATGTCTTCAATGCAAAGGAACTAATGCAGAAACTTTAAAGCAACAGAGGATAATAGGAGAAGGGGACTAAGAACTAGAGAAAAGGTTAGTTTGAGGAGAATCAAACTAGAAAGTAACACATATGTACATGGAAGCAATACTAGGAATCTCCCTATATAGCTATCCTTACCTCAACTAGCAAAAACCGGTGGTCCTCCTTATTATTGCTTATATTCTCTCTTCAACAAAATTAGAGATAAGGGCAAAACAGTTTCTGCCTGGAAGCAAGGGAGTGGGGGGAAAAGGGAGGGGGTGGGGGGAAAAGGAGGGTGGGGAAGAATGGAGGGGTTGGGAGCAGGGGGAAAGGGAGGGGGCGGGGGGGGGAACGAGGGAGTAATGACCCAAACATTGTATGTACATATGAATAAAGGAAATTTAAAAAAAGTAAAGTTTTAGGGAGATGAAAAAAAATAAATAAATAAAATATAGCCTAGCATAGAAATATATGGAAAAGGGGATTGTTCATAATCCTAATGTGATACAATCTGAGAAATTAAATTGGATTAATTAAACAAATCATCCAGTTTAACCACTTTACTTTTAAAATACTGAAGTTATGTCTTGTTTTGTTGTTCTTCATACCAAAACAATCAACATTAACACAATCAGAATTTCCACTTTAACTATTTTAAAGGTTTGAGAATTCTCAGAAACTTCATTCACTATGACTCCACAAAGCTTTGTACATTAAGTTTATGTCTGTATATGCTAATTTTTACAGGAAAAACTTTAGAACAAAAAAACACCTACTTGGCTCAGACAATATGAAATACAAGACTCCAACATACTAAAAAAGTTTAAAGATCCCCTAGTGTTGCAGCAGAATTCAAGACAAACTAAAAAATCTGACTAAAATCACATTTTTCATCATGCTCCTTTCTCCCAACCTTATAAAACTAGTAGCTATCTAGGTTAATAATTAACCTGCTATGAGCAGATTTACTCTAAAGAAATACATTTGATGCCATGTACTGAAAAAAAGGTCATTTTGTTTCAGTTTTCAAAGTGTATTTTGGTTAGAATTGTATATACCTTCTAAATTGAGAGTAAAACGTGACAATGGCTTATCTTATCCTCCATTTCAGAAGACAACAGATGTGCATCGTCAAACGTAGCATCATGTGCCAGGTGCCTTGCGCTGGGTCCGGAATGTGGATGGTGTGTTCAAGAGGTGTGCCTTTTTTGTTGTTGTTATTTTCTTTTTCTCATGCTTGACTTTCTCTCTGGCATGATTTCATTGCACCAATATTCTGTGCCTTGAAGGTGCATCAGGGAAAAAAAAGATAGCACTGAGCGTAAGGAAAATTTTATTTGGTTTTTATGCTTGGAAACAGCAAAACTGGCTGAATATAGAATCAAGTATAACTTTTTTATTAGGAAAACTATGGTAATTTTGAAATGAAGTGCAAGCCATTTTATGTTTTCCATCTGTTCTATAGAGAACATTGGCAAACACAGAAAGTAATTTTTCATAGTTCAGTAGGCTTTGGCGTGAAATTCTTGCTGCAGCTTGAGCCATAAGGTATATATCCCATCCACTCAAGTTGGATTGTTCTCTTATACTTGCTTATTAAAGAAAGGCAAGATGATTTATTGGGCAATTTTATTGGTTTTTATTTTAAATACTTGAAGTTGCATGATTTGCTTCACTTCCTATCATTGCACAGCAAATTTTCACTTACATATAAAAAATGTGAGGCTTTTCTTTTGACACCTTACGCTGTTAATGAGAAACTGTACAATTAAGTTCTACGGAATAGAGAATAATTCAGAATATATTTGTTGTTCAAAATTAGTGTTTTTATATTCTATGAAGAGAAACAAGTTCTAATGACAGTATTCTCAGTGAAACAATTATAATTCATTCCTTCTTTTTTGGCTCAAAACTTGTGAGGTTTTTTTTTAAAACAATAATCTTCAATCAGAGCTATCTGTACATAAGTCTCAACGAAGAAGCCATCTACTAAATTGGAGTTCCTTTTTAATGAGATTCTCCAGTAATTTTTCCATTACTCATGTAGCCCCTGGAAATTGAAACAGATAGGTTTTTAAGGGCTTTTTGCTTGACATAAACATAAATTCCTAGCTTTTGTATCCTCTGATTTAACCAATAGCTGCACTTATATCTCCTTTCCACCCTCTCTTGTTACTGCTTGTCTTAATGTATCCCTAAGGACAAAAAAAAAAAGCTGAAAAGTTGCCAAGGATGGTGGGCATTAAATTCTTCTATGAAGTATGTCAGGGTGGAGACTAGGAAGGGATTTACCAAACAGTAGCCATGTCTGGAAATCAACCTTTCTCACTGACAGCCTGAAACTCCCTAGAAGGGTACAATGTTGTAGAGAGGAAAACTCTAGACTTCTTAGGTCAAATCCCATCACTTCCTTTGAGTCAAAGATCAGACAGAATTAACTCCATTCTTCAAGCCTCTTTTTAAATTATCTCTATAATCTTCAATTTGGAGTTTACCTGTTGGTTTCACTATGTCAGGAATGTTTCCTGGATTGCTATTTCATGATCCTACACCAGTACTTCACTTTAGATCTTGCTGAATCACTGAGGAAAAACCCTAGAGCCCTGCAATTTGTACCAATCTGACCTTGGCTAATGAGTGCTCTAGTGAGAACAGTTTGGAGGAACTTTCAAAAGATGGTTCAGAAGCCCAGTTATCAAGCAGTTGTAATATCAGGTTCTACCTTATAGTTGTGACTGTCAGGAAAGTCACAGCTCGGGAATAACAGTCAGTCCTGCCACAGAAAGAGGGATTGTTAATATTCAGAGGGATAGGTAATCAGATGGAAAGAGATAAACCAAAGGGAAAAAGGTGGCTACTGGAAGGGCAGAGGCAAACCTATTTCAACTGATGGTAAAATCCTTGAGACAGGGACCCTGAGGAAAGCATTGAAAAATTCACTTAGCTATTCTTGTCCTAAAATATTCCCTCACACACTACACTGTAGTACAAGTTATGTTTTGAAAAACCAGGCTCTGAAGAGAGACAAACTGGGATTCAAACCCAAGTTCACCAGTTTCTAAGTGTGTGAACTTGGACATATTAATTCCTCTGAAACTCAGTTTTCCCATTCTCTAAAGTGGAAATACTGATTATACCTCCCCCACATTACTGGGGAGATGTAAAGAAGCAATGTGTGAGACATATGTGACACGCAGTCATTGTTTAACAAACAGGAGTTTAACTGTAGAGAACTTTGGGGAGATTTAGGAAAATAGGAGGAGTTAATAGCCCAATCTCAGGGAAGCAAGCAGTGTTACGTCTTGGCTACTATCCCTATCACCAACAGGAGGAGCAGTCCACTCTCTGCAGGCTGACCTGACATCACAGGGAGGCAAACTGTCTTGTGGAGTTTTGGAAGCTCAACAATCATGTTGGCACAGATACAGCTGGTACTCCTGAGTTCTCAGGCAGCAAGGCTGAAGGAAAAGGGAATGATGAGGAAGGCTTTTCCTGCTCATAATGAAAATAGATAAGTAGTAACAAAATAAACCTGACTTATAGAATTTACAAAACTGATCAAATGTAAAAAATCAGTAAAAAATTAGACAGTGTATACCCAGCTTGCTTGCATTCTTATCTAGCATGTTAATCTGTCATTCCATGTCCATTCACTTTCTTTCCATGTTATGTAAAAGTAATTAGGATAAAAAAGGCTTTATCAATATTATCAAGTTTAATGACTTATGTTTCTTGTTAAAATCTATGAAAGACATGTTAAGTTTTGAAGACTTCTCTTCCTCTTCTAGCTGATATGACTGACACAGGATATCATGGCATACACAGAAGTTTAGAGGCAACCTTGGATCATAGTTATCCTAAAACATGATATAAAGAGCATTCACTGTCCAAAGGACTAAGATAAAATTTGCTTATTTCTGTTCAGATCGCAATTTTGGAAGTCAAAAACAATTCAGAACTTTTTTGTAGGAGAAAAAATTGTTTTAGATATATACCCAGAATATTATATCAAATGGATGGAAATAACGAATGGTAAAAAGCTAGCTAGAGTAACTTCAGCCCAGATTTTTTATTCTCAACAGGTTTTAGATGCAGAAAGTTGGAATATGAATTTGCTGTGATTTTCTTGTAGAAAAAGGAAAACATAAGGATTAGAAGACATTAAAATGACACAAAATACCCCAAATTAAAAGGGTGTGGTTTGAAATTGCTTTTCTTTCATACAAAGTAGAAAGTAGGCCACAATGGGCAGAAACAACATTCCATTCTTGATTTTGATGCTTCGGCTTTTTCTTCCCTTTTCAAACCTAATTGGCCAACTGGCAGTGTTTTTCTGACTTAGTTTTTACAGTGGGGTGAAGAGAGCCATGCTGATTCAGTCATTGCAAAATAATAGAATATTTTACCGATTTCAGCAAAACTATTTGACATTTAAAGGTCACGTGGCAGATCTTGATGTATAGTTACAGTAAATTAATCACCCTTCCTTCTTTATTGCGTATAAACAAATTATAGACTCCCTGGCTGGCTGAAAAGAAAAACTAGAGCTATTTGTACTTTATTTCCTTTCTATGATTTGAAATCTTGAATTTTTTTACATCTATAAAATGCAAGTGGCCCTTTGTAAAAAATTGAACAAACGTGTACAATCCTTATGTGCTCTCAGTGTTCCCCACACTTGAAAGAAGAGGGAGGGAGTCTGGGGGTAAGGGAGGGGGCGGGGGGAAGGAGGGAGAAATGACCCAAACACTGTATGCACATATGAATAAAATAAAAAAAGAAAAAAGTGGGGACCTCCACCTGGCCTGGAGCTTTCTGAAAGAATGAGACCACATGATAGCAGGTATTTGTCATGACGTTCTCTGAGGCACTCCAGTTTGTTTATAAACTGCACCTTACCTTCAGTACCTCCAAGTTTTACTAGTAGATAGGATAAATTTAGATACGAGAAATTAAGGCTTTGATTATTTTAAACATCTGTTTGAAATTTAGATGATTGATCACAAGGCAAATTTAATGTTTCTGTCACCATGTGCCATTTACCAAATGACACCTGGAAATTTTGATTGGAAACAGGGGCTCATTTCCTTTTGCCTTTTATTTATGCTTGCCTTACAAGTGTCACCTGCACTCAAATTCAGGCTCCATACTGTAAAGGATCACATAGTAAACTTTTAGCCTTTGCAGTCACACACTGTCTTGATTGCACGTTCTTCCTCTTTTTTGTTGCTTTATAGCCTTGTATGATGTAAAAAGTACTTTTTGGCACTCAAACCACATAAAAAGGCCAAGGGCTGCATTTGTCATGTGGCCCCTAGTTTTCCAAGCCCTCTGCTTTGTACATTGAGAAAGGAATAAAATGTTTTATATGAATATTACTTACTATCAGCCTATCTAATTATTCACTATTGTCACAGGTTAATTAATTATAATTAAATAGTGGCCTCATCTTCAACATTAATGTCCACTTAAACTTGATAGTCCTCTTTCCCCATAACCCTGTGACTTTCTGTCTTCCCCTGAGTTTTTGATTCCCAGAATGATTATATTTGCTTGCTTAATAACTGAATTCACCTGTGCTCTGTTGACTTTGATGACAAAAACTCTAGCTGCCTTGTTCTATCCATATCCCCAGCAACTAACAAACTTACTGTCCCTGGATAAGTATTCAGTTAAATGGATGGTGAATTGATTAGAAATCTAAACCTCTGAGTCATGTGAACTAAAGGAAGAATGATTAAATGCTGGGTCAAAATAGCCACTATCAAGAAGATCACTGAGAAAACATAGAGCTTATATGTAAAAAAAAAATCCCAAGTAATTCAGAACATTATATATAATGAAACATTTTGCCATATTTTTCAATACATTTTCTGTCCACAGGAAAAATCCTGAAAAAGTAAAAGTATAATTTTTTTCAGCTAAAATAATTTAAAGTTTAAATTTATTCTATTAATTTCAAGTTTACTGAATGGCTCTTAGACAACTATCAACTATTCAATGCTGAATGATAGTGAAAGTTTTAGATTCAGTTACAAAGTCAGGAGAATTTGAGCTGCAGTATTTCTCCATCTCATCACAAACATCTTTCTTGGTGTATTGACTTATTTTCAGGCTGTTTTTGTATAAGAAGTAGGTTGGGCAATTTTGTGGTCTAAGAAATTAGATTTCCAATTCATTATTTTATGAACTTTCAGTATTTAATTAGGCATGTGATTTCTAAGTTGTTGCTCTCATATTCCAAGCACAACAGTATATAATAAACACACCGGTTGAGCTCTCTGAGACATGAGTCTCACATTTGGAACCAATGAATGGTCCATTTTGGTTAAGTTTTCTCTTGGGTCTGTCTTTCCAAAGTAAAATATTTAGAAAGAATTAAGTTGGTATGGTTTTACAGTGCCCAGTCAACATTTAAATTGTTTGGTTTAAATCTCCTATTTAATAATTCATTTTCTTCTTTTTAAATGAGATTTGGAAATTAAAGTTTTATTTATGACAATTTTCCAGTACTGTTATTGGAAACATGCAGCTATTTTAAACAGTTGCATAATTTGTTCTACATTGGAATGGCTTTGCTATGGTATTTGCTATGTATAGATTTTCTTTGGTTGTAACTGAGAGGATATGCATGAAATACATCAGTGATTTTCCTTCTTTTAAACAGGATTTCATTTCGGGTGGATCAAAAAATGAACGTTGTGATACTGTTTCCAATTTAATAATCAAAGGCTGCTCAGTGGATTCAATAGAATACCCACCTGTGCGTGTAATAATACAAAGTGAAAATGAAATTAATACCCAAGTGACACCAGGAGAAGTGTCAATCCAACTGCGTCCAGGTTTGGTGATTTTCAAATAAATCTATGATAATTCTTCATTTGAAATTTCAACTCATATTAACTTGTTAATATTTAATATTAAGTAGTAGGCAATATTGTTGGTAGTAGAAATCACAGAGAGCTCAGAATCGAGGAAGCAGAATTCTAGTCTTTGTAATGCTCATAGCTAGCTGTATGACCACAGACTCTGCAAACCTGACCACAATATATAATAATTATATGTTCTCCTCACATAATCTGATCATGCTGTGATGCAATTGTGTTCCTGCTCCACTGCAGCTCTGGGGAAAGGGAACATATTTTATTACATTCTTTCTCCAATGCCTAGAGCAGTGCTGGCATGTATTAAGAACTCCATAAATATTCATTGGCTGAATTGATTAATAAGTTAGGAGGTATGAATTAAGCTAAGTACTTAGAGCCTTTATAATGAAATTTTTTTTGCCAGTACTTGGGTTCGAACTCAGAGCCTATCCCTTGAGCCACTCCACCAGCCCTGTTTTTGTTAGGGTCTCATGTACTATTTACCTGAGTTGGCTTCAAACCACAATCCTCCTGATCTCCTGCCTCCTGCTAGGATTATAGGTGTGCAATGAACTTTTAAACACAAAACTACAATTCAGGATTATCATACTTACCTTAGGCAGCTTTGAGTTGGCACTGGAGATTAATATCTACCTTTCTTCCTGTATTTCTTTTATACCTCCTCTTCTGTCATAACAAATACCCCAGTTTGACACATGTATATGCCTTGGGAAGGTATTCATTTCCTTCAGGGTTAGAAAATCCCAGTTATGAATTAAATACAGGAGTACAGGTCAAGGTATACAGATATGCACCCCTCAATTAGATGGATCAATAGAAAGCAGTAGGAAATTGCTTTCAAGTCTGTGTTATTTCATTGTAGGTGGTCTTGTCTTGTCGTTAGCTTTTTAAATGACCATTCTTGACATACTCCTCAGTCCATTCCAAATGCTGAACTGTTTCTTCCAGACACTGTGATTACCAGAAAAATAAAATCCACTCTTTTCTTGACACTAGCCATCATCCCAGCTCCCAATTAAAGCTGTGCTTTTCACCCTATGAAGTAATGATACAGCCCAGTATGGACATATATTAGCAAAAGTTGGAAAGGTAGACACAAAAATCAAACTAATTAGGTATATAAGATTTTGTTTGTTGTCACCTTCCTTTGTTGCCTTAGATATTCCTATAGCTCTGCATTTATAGCCTTTCAGTGTTATGAATACCAACCTCTTTTTTTTTGTTGTTTTATTTTATTTTATTTTTTTATTTTATTTTTCTTTTATTATTCATATGTGCATACAAGGCTTGGTTCATTTCTCCCCCCTGCCCCCACCCCTTCCCTTACCACCCACTCCAGCCCCCTCCCTCTCCCCCCTACCCCCTCAATACCCAGCAGAAACTATTTTGCCCTTATCTCTAATTTTGTTGTAGAGAGAGTATAAGCAATAATAGGAAGGAACAAGGGGTTTTGCTGGTTGAGATAAGGATAGCTATACAGGGCATTGACTCACATTGATTTCCTGTGCGTGGGTGTTACCTTCTAGGTTAATTCTTTTTGATCTAACCTTTTCTCTAGTTCCTGGTCCTCTTTAATGATTTTTCTCTTTATTTCATTCTAACAGGTCCATTATCCCAGGTTTTTGATCTTTATGAGCCTAAGTAGGTTTTCTCATAGACTACTTCTAAAATCACTAATTTCATATATATTTCCATATCCCAGCATCACTTGTATCTAGTCTTTTCCACTAGTCATCCATAAGAGTCTTGCTGTCACCCCTTTCAAACTGTATTAACATGGAATAGTAAGATACATGTAATTCAATTATACTTTGATTTTTTTGACTCAATTGTGGAGAGGGGATAATCCTCACAGCACACTGAGTTTGAGGGCAAGTTTGTTAATATCATCTTTTCTAAAAATCCTTCTTTGAATAATCTAGATTCTTGCCTCTCCACTCTGTTTTCCTTCAACAAATTCTTCACATTCCGAGAATTTTAAAACACGCACCATGATATTTACAGATGAATAAATAGGAATTATATAATACAATAGAACAATTAGCAATAATCAATAAACTTGATGTCTTAGTCTGTTTGGCTGCCATAACAGAATCTCATACACTGGATAGAAAAAACAACATAAATATATTTTCCCACAGTTCTAGAAAGCTTACAAATCCAAAAGGCTAAAATGCTCAACATCAAGATGCTGTCAGATTTTGTTCCTGCTGAAGGCTATATCTTGCATTTAGCCATCTTCTTTGATGTGTCCTGATATGGCAGTGTGTGTGTGTGTGAGAGAGAGAGAGAAAGAGAGAGAGAGTGAGAGAGGGAGGGAGGGAGATTGAGACTATCCAGTATTGATTCCTAGAAGGCCACTAATCCTATCATGAAGACCCCACCCTCATGACTTCCTGTAAACCTAATTATCCCTCAGAGGCTCCATCTCCAAATACCACCCACCACAGGGGAATACAATTCAGTCCATAGCACATGATATATAAAATACTACTTTTTAAAATCCATGAAATATTTTTAGAAATTAATCCTATCTTAGACAAGAAAACGCTATTCTAAAATATGAGAAACATTTTATAGGTAAGCATTTTTAAGCACAGTGCAATAAAAATTCAAATCAATACAAAAAGATTAAAAAATCAAATAAAAGCAAAATTCATAAAAATCTCCCTTAAATAATTCTATTTCCACAAAAATCCAAACTTTAGCCATAAGCTAATAAGAGTAACAAAATACCTCAAAATATATGGAATGAGATTTAAGTTGTTCTCATGAAAATTCAAAACTTTAATTTTATTATTTGCTTTCATTTATTTTATTTTTATTTTATTATTTACTTTTAAATAACAGTAAAAAAAAAAGCCATCAAGAAAACAAAGAGAAATAAATACACAATTTTTAAAAAAGCAAAAAGAAGAAGTTCCTAAGTTTTTAAAAAAACAACAAAATTAATGAAGTGGAAAATAAAAATAAAAAACCAAAGTGGATATACAAATTCAAGATTTATTTTTCTTTTTTTCAATCTTCAAATTTTACCCTTTTTTTTTCTTATTTTTACCTATTAATCTCATGGAAAAAATCATATTGATCCTAGTTGATGTTCTTTAAGAACAAGGAGATTAAGCCTTTAGCAAGACAGAAAAGAGAAAGGAATTCTCTACTTTTAATTCAGAAATACAGTATGCTTAATAACAAACAGTCCTAAAGGACAAGAATGAAAAACAGGTCACACTAAGGGGAGGACACTGACAAGAGGGGGAGGGTAAAAGAAGGAAGTAAAGAAAATGAATATAAAATCTCTTTTGTTTTTCAAAAACTGAGAACAGGAATGTAAAACAGGTCTTGTCTGGGGGTTGGTATCAGTGGGAAGGGGAAGGATATAACGAAAGGGTGTAGGAGGATGAATTTGGTAGAAATATTATGTACTCAGGTACGAAAATGGAAAAATGAGACCTGTTGAAACTATTCTAAGAATAGGGAGGAGAGAGGATAAAGGAGAATGATGGAGGGATGAATTTATGATAGATTTTAAGCATTTTTGTAAATGTCACAATCTACCCCAGTACAACAATAATATAATAAAAAGAAAAGAAGAAATAGAGTACTTGATAAAAATGAAAAAAGCCTATATTTCACTAATTTAAGAAAATGTTTCACATGTGGTTCATTTTAATATTGCAAAGAAAAATTCCTTTAATATAGTGTAGTTTAAATTTAAACTTTTTCAAATATGCCTTATTCTTCCTTAATTTCAAGATTTAAAAAAATAGAAACTTGCCCATATTTCCTGCAATACATGAAAACATATTCCCATTCAATTTCCTACAAAATTTAGAAACATGCTGGAGTCTGTGTCTTGCTATTTTAAACCAATCCCACTGGGGAGGGGGTACTTCTCCTGCTCAAATGTAATGAATAGACATTGGCTTCTCTTTCTTTCTCCTACAGGCTCTACATTTTCTTACGATTTTCAATTTCAACTTATACAGAACATTTTTCAGTTTTCTAAGTGTTCCACCATGTTTGTTGTAGCCAGAACATCAGAGACACTCACATGACAATTGGAGTAGTTTAAAACTCATTCTAATCACCTTTGCTTCTTTGATTCATTCAAATCAACAGTTCTAAGGCAACAGTTTTAAGTAGGACTTTCCTCCCAAGTCCTTTCATTCCATGTCACAGACCTATTTCTTCCCTTTTAAGTTAACTGAAGGAAATAAAGGCCTGACCCTTTAGAACCACAAAAGGTATGAAGAAAAAGCTTCCCTGGAAATAATACATTTAAGTCCATGGACATTTTGGACTCAGATGATGCTCTCCCCTACCCCCTGTACAGGGGATTGAACGCATAGCCTCATGCTTGCTAGGCAAGTGCTCTACCACATGAGTCAATGTCCCCAGGCTCTTCTCCTCTTGAACTCTAAACTCTCCCTACACTGAGTAAGAAGTCCTAGGAACCACCTTCTTTCTGGGCCTTTTGAAACACTGAGCCAAAATGTGTTTTCAGCATAGTGTAGTTATCGAACATTTGTGAGGACTGTACACACACAGAGGTTTCAGAGGTGACGAAATAGTTCTTGCCCTAATGTTGCTTACAATCTAGTAGTAGTAATGGTAATAATCAGTGACACATGCATACATAAGCCATATCCTTTAGTAACTTTCAGCCACTAAAAGAAGATAAAGATATCTAGTCTGGAATCTTACAATTATATGGTAAGCATTATAATGGTAGTATAATCCAGTCGCTGTGGTAACACAAGGGAGGGATGCTCATCTGGGTTCAAGGAGGAGCAGATTCCTAAGCAGTATCTGGAAGCGGTAATTATAAGAAGAAAGGGAGGTTAGACAGAGGAAGAAACATAAGCAAGGCATGGGAGGGTGTATTGGTGGAGTGTACATGGGGACTTACAAGGAGGTTTATTTTGCTAGAGCTGAAGGTGTAGATAGACACA